ATAATTTCTCTGGTAAATTCTTATGATTGCCCAAAGTTTGCTTGAAAAAAAAATCAACATCTAATTATGCTTCTGTGCGAATGTTCCTAGTGAAGCACATGAATCGATAGATGGTTGCTGAAATACACGCACCGATAGGACTGAACCTCAGCAATGGGAGTAAAAACAAAGACTTACACCATAAGCCGTAACAAAAAAAATAACAAATAAGCCATCTTTCCTTATTTGTCAAATTTACCGACCCCCTGATAATGAATGGGAATTTCTTCTTGAAATGGAACAGTTTCTTTCCGCCTTAACCGCACTAAACATGCTTGCATTCATTGCAGGTGACTTCAATTTTGATTTATTCTCAATTAATAATAATTCTGCAAATGAATCATTTTTTACATTGATGTGCAGTTTTGGATTTTTGCCAACCATCTCTAAAGCTACCCGCATTACCCCAACCTCAAGTACTCTTATTGATAATATCTTCACAAATGACTTGTCTAAAATAGTAGTACCAGGGGTAATTGTAACAGACCTTTCAGACCACCTTGTAATCTTTACAACTGCAAATGTTGAAAATAAAATATTAGAAAAGAAGGATAAGGAAAGAACAGTATTTGATTACAATAAAATTGAACACCTGAAGGGCCACCTAATAGAGAGTCTTGATGATCTCACCACTCAAACAGATCCTGAACTGGCCTGCATACAGATTATACAAGCATACAAGGATGGCATTGCTATGTGTTCAAAAACCATAACATGCTCAAGAAAAAATAATTTCATAAAACCATGGATGACCCCAGCTATACTCTGTTCCATCAATCACAAAAACAAAATGTTTGTGAACAAACTAAAAAATCCTAATTCATACAATATAGCACAATACAACAAATATCGAAACTGTCTAAATAGGGCAATTACAAACTCAAAGAAGGCCTACTATGAAGCAGAATTTCAAAAAAACAACAGGAACCCCAAAAAGACATGGGAAACATTAAATGAACTTCTAAAACAAAAAAGCAAATGTGATATTTTGCCAGGTGAAACACTAAATAACACTGAGAATAGCGGTCAAGAAATGATGTCAATGGCTGAAAGTTTCAACAAATTTTTCACAGAAATAGGGGAAAAGTTGAAACAAAATATTCCTTGTAACAACACAAATCCCTTAGAAAATGTTCGAGAGACAGAAGGAGAAATGACTAACTTTTCTAGTGTCACTGATGATAAAGTGGAACAAATAATTAATCAGCTTAAAGATGTTGGTGCTGGAATTGATGGAATCAATTCAAAAATATTGAAACATTCTTACAAACCCATCCTTTCAAAGCTTACTTATTTCTTCAACCTATGCCTCTCAACAGGAACCTTCCCAGATCCCTTAAAAATAGCATCTGTGAAGCCAATATTCAAAAGTGGAGATCATAATAGCTTATCTAACTACAGACCAATAAGCATTTTGCCAATAATTTCAAAAATATTAGAGAGGGTTATCCACTACCAACTGACAGACTTTGCAACAAGCAGACACATTCTCTCAGACAATCAATTTGGATTCAGGAAAAATAACTCTACCTACATGCCAGTCATGCTTATTCAAGACTACATAACTGAAGCACTGGAAACTAATAACATTATAGCAGGTGTCTTTCTTGACCTTTCAAAAGCATTTGACACTGTAGAACACCAAATACTACTAGAAAAGTTAAACAAAATGGGTTTTCGAGGAAATATTCTAAAAACAATCAAATCATACTTAACAAACAGATTTCAAGTGGTACAGATAGAAGGGGTCAAGTCAACTGAACGAGAAATAAAAATAGGAGTGCCGCAGGGGTCAATTCTTGGACCACTCCTCTTCATTCTATACTTAAATGACATTGCAAATCTTCCAATTGAAGGGCAAATTATGTTGTATGCAGATGATACTGCAATATTTTTCAAACATAAAAACAGAGAAACACTTCAAGAAATAACAAATGCAGCCCTGTCAAAAATATCTGAATGGCTAGAAGCAAATTACCTCACAGTGAACCCATCAAAAACATTTCTCCAAGTATATTCAAAACGGAGAACTGCTGAAAAGCTAAACATTTACATTAGAAACACAGCAGTAGTTGAAATGAAAACAGTGAAATATTTAGGAATCCTTATTGACTCTGACCTCAAATTCACATCTCATATCAGTAGCATATGTAAAATTATCAGCAGAAACATTGGAATGATTGCAAGAGCTAGACGCTTTATCCCAAAACAGCAGCTCATTCAATTATATTATTCTTTGATTTTTCCTTACATCAACTACTGCTGTTTCATTTGGGGTTCCAACTATGAAAACCACCTTCAAAGGCTGGTAATTCTGCAAAAAAGGTCCATGAGACTAATTGAAGGTATTTTCCCACCACAAAGTGCTACCCCAATATTTAAAAAATATAGTATTCTTAAAATTAAAGACGTAGCCAAACTTCAAATAATGCTTATCATGCATAAGTACATAATGCAGGAATTACCAGTCTCTGTAAGACGATTACTTCATCTTTCAACTGACCCTATCCATCAGACAAGAAATATCCATCATTTTCAACCTGTTTTTTCAACAAAAAATTACAGGCTCTACTCATTTCCTTGCATCGGACCCAAACTCTGGAATGACTTAATAGCTAAAGATCTTCTATTAGAAGAAGTACCTCAATCAAAAAACACTTTCAAAAAATATGTAAAGAATATCTTACTTAGTGAGTACTAAGCAAAAGTACTTATCAAAAGTTTAAGTGAAGTATTAGCAAAAGTATTAGTTAAGTAATCCTGGGTACTAAGTATCCTCGTAAATATACCTATAAATGAATATGAAAATATGTTAAATCTTACAATAAGAAAAACAACAAGAACATGATAATAAATAGCAATAAATAGCGTAATACACACGCTTACCTAGTACTTTTCATACAAGTGCTTAGCATCTCGACAAGTGGCCCAATAATAAATGGACATGTTGGTGCATTTATTATTGGGCTAGGCTGACAATGATGTGTTGATAATGTAACCTACCTTTGTGATTATCAACACAGGAGATACGTCCCCACTCAAATGGAACGCCGGACTTGAAGGGGTCCATCAGCAACAAGCCCTGCTTAGCTGGTGGGCCCTAGAAAGTCTGGCTGTTGACCTGCGCTCGAATTGACCAGAAATGTTTCCCCACTGGATTGCCATTTGCTGATTTTTCTTCTAGGAGTGAAAGGCTGAATGCACTCTACTAACCAATTATGTATGCATGTATGAATGACTTCTTTCTTAGATGTAGTAGAACAGTCATCCGCTGCTTTCAGCAATGACTACTTGTACTTTGGCTCTCTTTATTTATTAACCGGTTCCCGCACTTCTTTTGCTTACTTTGTTTTGTTTTTTTTCAATTTTCCTAGCTGGGAGTGCCGCGACTTATCCTTTTTTATTTTTATCTGGTGTTAACGTAAGGTGCTGTGAGTCGCTGGGCTGTGGGTGGGGGCACTCCTGGTCACCTAATAATGGGTGGCGGAGTAGTAAAAAAAAAAAAAAAAAAGCACCTTCATGTCATTAAGCCTCGCCCATATTGGTGTTTTGCTAGCCGCGAACGTAGGTCGGGTCAGGTCAGGTCAGGCCAACCAGTCCCGCCGGGTATTCATAATTAATAGGTGTCAACCGCCAGTGACAGCTTCGTTGCATGTAACGAAGGCACCAAAACTTCTTCCTAAATGTTCAAATGGTTACTAAATTCGAAAGCTCCAAAAACTAGCCTGGAAGCATGTAAAACTAAAAAATGTGAACCGAGGTCATCAAAGGTCATTGAACTGACCTGACCTTCAAGTGATCTTGACACCGACCATAATGCGTGGGACCAACATCATAATATCATATGTTTAGACGCTTGAAACCACGAAAAGACTGCAAACGCGCGGCTAATGCAAGCAAATATACGCCCAATCGCGCTTCCGGCCAAACATGGTCTCGAGAAATAGGTCACAGGTCAAAGGTCATTGGGGTCAGGGTCGTAAAATTTAATGGGTAGGTGTAAAATTGATAAACTCGAGGGTACTGAAAGTTTCGTCGCGATCGGACGCTTTTTACATGAGCTTTTTGCGAAAAATCGAGAGGGGTTCTTTCGACCCCCACCCTCATCCCCTATATGGGCGAGGGTTGAAAATTTTCAAGATTTATTCATTGGCGACCGAATTCTGCAATATAACAAGTCAGAAATACAGCGGTTGAGCCATCCGCGTAACGTTACGGAGCCGCCGCCGCGCCCACCCTGTAGCCGGACCTCCCCGGGCGGGCCAACCCGATACGTTCAAAGCTGAGCCAAAGGCCGGGGGGCAGGTTGGGGCAGGGTTTCTTGAATGGATCATGTCCAGAAAAGTGTGGCGAATCTTCTCATGGTAGATTTGGCGTGGAGTTTTTTGGCCATTTTCTTATATCTCTACGTTTTTAAGATGGACAGTGTTTTCAGGGGATGTTTGAAAAGGTCATTTTCAAATGAGCATAACTCATCGGTTAGTCCAAGGATACATATAGCATTCGGGTATACTATCAAATATAGGCTCAGTAGTCATATACCACTCCAATTATTTCCAAACCTTTCCGACAATTACGCCAAAATATGTTGTAAACATGACGCGGGTTTTCGACGATTTCAGCACAGCCGGGACCGGCATTGCGTATGTCCACTTAAGCTAGCTTTTTGGACACCGAAAGAAAGAAATTGAACCAGAGTATTGTGATATTGACATACTTTGGACAATTTCCTATCGACTGATAGTTATAAAAAGTCAAAATTCCAAAATTCGTTTTTTGATTAAATTCGCGCTAATCTGGCGTTAGGCCACACTGTGCGCCGCAGCCAGTGAAAGTGAGTGAGCGCCAGTGTCGTACACATGCACACCGCCCGGCCAGCCGGCCGGCCCGGTCAGAAGGGCCGCAGTCAGCTGACGGCGAGCGGGCAGGCCGCGCCGCGCCGGCCAGTGCTCGGCTACAGTGGTGTGTGTGTGCACACTGGCGAGCGGCGTGGACCGCCCGTCCCACTGTGAGCCGTCTGCCGTGAACGGGCTGGCCCGCTCTGTGCCAATGTGGTAACGGGCCGCGATGGGTCTGGCCCGGCCGCCGATCGGTGGTACGATACGGAATCGGTGAACCTACCCGCTCGGTTGCTCCTTTGTCGCTGTCTGTGGCAATCACCAGCTGGACTTGTGGCCTCGCGGCGCGGCGCCTGCCGACTCTTGGCCAATAGCATGACGCCATTACGAAACCGGCTGTTTTGAAAAAAGAGATGATGGTGCTGTGAAGTTGACGGTGACCGCTCACGGTTGAGAGTGCGGGCTCTCCAGTGGATGGTCCGGGACTTCGACAGGGTCTGCACAGGTCCGATTTACTCCGCACGGTGCATATGGTAAGATATCTGTCGGCAATCGGCTATTGCACCGTGAACCTGCACGGACAATCTGCTCCAAATGTCCTCATTTCATTTATCTGCACCAAGGCATCCTCTATTCAGTCAACAGTGACCGATACACTGCGTTCTTGGCATTCAATCTTCCATCGGACTTCAGTGTTTTGGGCTGGTTTTGTTTGAAGAGAAAGGTGCTTCAACTACGTTTCTGGTCGATGTTTTACCTGATCTTTTTCATTGCTTGAGTTCTCGCTGCCTGCGAAGTTCATGTTGTTGCATAACATGACTGACATCACCGCAGAGTCAGCTGCGTGCAGTTCTATGGTGGTGGCATCTTTGACTTTTCGCTCAACGTAGGGATGGCGACTGTCTATGCGTTCCCTGGTAGGCTTAGTATTTCCTGATCAATCAATCGTAATCATGACAATTCACGGAACAAGTCTCTAGACATGAAGCGGGATGATGCACGCACACACTCCACTCTATCTTCTTGGATGTTCTTTCTTGCGCATTTTGTGTGTAGAGTTTTGATTGTGGTTATTGATCATACGTTTCCTCGTCTGATTTCTTTTTTCGCGTTTCATCTCTCCAATTCAAGTCATCAGCGAGGGTCTTAGGCTCCCAAAACTGCGCTTCGCTTCAGTCACAATGCCAAGGTCACTGTCTAGTGTCTAGACAGTTCAATCAATGCATCCTTAGGCGGCAAAAACCAACATCTAAATGCAAAATATGTTCAACGTGTGCGCTTTCATCCTATAAACTGATTCTGTGCATATTAGTGTCTTTTCCACCATTCTGTGAGGCCCAATGATGGTCACAGTAGCCGCTAGAGATGTCAATCGGATACCAACTTTTTGGTATACCGATACCAAACCGATACCAACTTGGTATTTGGTATTTCAATCGTAATGTGTTTGGTATTTTGTTGGTATCATAAGCCTTGACTAATGTATAAGAGGCTAAGAAATCGGTAAAAAGTTGGTATTTCCCTCAGTTTCCCAAGTTGGTTTGGTTTCGGTATTTTCTCATGGTTTTGATAGGTATTTGGTTTGGTATCGGTATTCCGATTTTCCGTAATTGACATCACTAGTAGCCGCACTATGGGAGGAGGGAGGCCGGTATGGTCGACAGATGTGATTGGACGCACCCCGCCGGCGCGGCCGGGGCGAGGGCGAGGGAGCGGGGACATTGGATCGGGGCGGGCGGCTCGCCGAGGGGTGCCCTTTCGGCGGCGCCGGCGTCTCCTGTGGCGGGGATCGATCGGCTGACTCACCCGGCGGCGTTGGTGCCGTCCCCTCCTGTCTGTTGTGAGCGGGGAAACGGCGGGGACCGGCCGCCGGAGGGGGCCCGGCGCCCGACCACCTGCAAAAAGGGCATGGGACAGGGATTTCCAGTGGACGTCCCTTCCGGACAGCGGGCCGAGCTGGCGCCGGTGGTCAAAGGACCCGGTGATCGAACGGTAACCGCTTCTGGTCTCAAAGCTACCGAACTTGGCGGCGAAAAACAAGTGGGATGGCCACGTGGTCTGGGGGGACCGCTGAACAAAGAGCCAGATAAACTGCAAGGTAGACTGCAAGGATAACTGGATGCGTGTGTGTGCAAGTGACGAGTGCAAGTCCATAAACGCTATCACAGCACCGCATTCTTATCACAAAGATAACATTCCTTCTGTCTGAAATGAGGCCGCTTGGGCGGTTGCGTGGGCTGCCGGAGTGAGCGAAGTCGGCTGCTTCTCAGTTTCCGTATACCGGCGATAGCCCGGAGTGTATCTGTCCCGTTTAGCCGTCACCTCTGGAGTTGTGCAGCGATGTGACGGGCTCTCTCTTTCGTTTCAGATAATCTGGATCTGATCAAAATGGCGACCCCTACGTCATCCGGGAAACTGAGCAGCGGCAGCAGCGGCACCGCCGAGCCGCCCGCCACCAGTCTGACACAGGTAAGCGAGCTCAGGCACTGACCTGCGACAACTCGGCGCCACACTCTGCTCTTTTGTATGGTCAGACTCGCCTCGCCGGGTCTGGAACACCGTGACCGTCCCTGCGGGCTCGGGAGAATTAAATGGAGTCAAGGTCACCCAACATTGTTGGTCGTTGCCGTATGAAAGATGCAAGGACGGTATGAAGTGACAAACGTTTAAAGTGGGGCGCTCTAACGGTCATTTTTTGTCGCTGTCTAAAATTGTTGAACTATTGGTCAATACGACGGTGTTTTATTCATGGTGGCTTCTTGTCAACTCTGCATGCCACTGTTGGCGGCGAATTGAAATATTTAACAACTTCAAGCATTTTGTTATAAAGATACTAATGAAGTGCATTTATTTTGACTTTATTTGTGTATTTTCAATGGTCATAAAGTTATTCCCTAGCCAAAAATGGAACGAAGGGTTTTCGAAGCTACTAGAGCATTTGTTTCCATAAATGATGCAAGCTTTGCGTAGGCACGGCGGCGATCAATGGACTTCTATGAGGAACTTCCGGATTCCTAACGAAATTGAGTGGAATGTTAAGCGTGTTCACACATGCTATGCCAATAACTGTGCAACGACACCGCCGATTGCTTAGCGGTCTAAACCAGCAGTTGTCCCTGTCTAATCTACCACAGACAAGCCGTGGTTACCAACCCAAATGATGGCGTACAGCGTACTTGGTGCGTGTCGCGTGAGAGGAGATTGCACAGCTGACCAATCAGTTTGCTAGGGCAACGATTGGTGAAGGGAGGAAGCGATCATCGAATGGCACTTTGGCTGTCTCCCTGTTTCGGCTGCTGGAAAATGACCGATTTTGGGTAGCAGTGAACTAAACCCAATCACAAAAAATGCGTGTGAACACGCTGGAAAGAGTTAATGCATTTTATATGACAATACTTCATAAACAGTAAACACCATAACGAGCCCGTAGAAGCCCGTCGCTCACGGTGATCAAATACGTTTCTGGCCGCCGTCCACCGGTGACCTAATTTCGACCTTTGTCCTTGATTTCGGCATCAGACCTCAACAGCCTAGCATGACTCATTGAGCCATCGACTGGTCTATTGGTGGCGGGTGTCGTATAATCTAGAGTTTTGTGACCGGTCATTTATATCAAATCAGCCTGATGTTTGTAATCAGTTACGTGTTGTCTCTGTTGATGATCCGCGCGGTGCATTCATACGCTTATTTATTGAGGTTATGTGGCCGGCGATGAAATGGTTTGACCGTGTCTGACGGTAAATCTTTGGTTGTCTGCTTCAGGACGGAGACTGGCTGCAGTGTCTCGTTTGCCGCGACGTCTTCAAAGACCCGTGGCTGCTGCGCTGTCTGCACACATTCTGCCAGTCATGTTTTGACGTTCGGGTGGAACAGGAGGGCAAGAACGAATGCCCCGTGTGCCAGGAGCGTGACGTGTTCGGTCACCTGAAGCTGCGTCCCGACTACGCGGCGCGCTACGCGCTGGAGCACGGCGCGGCCGAGCGGCGTGCCGTGCCGTGCTCGGGCGGACCGGCCGGCTCCGAGTGCGGCCGGCCGGCCGTGTCCCACTGCCCCACCTGCGCCAAATACATGTGCACCGGCTGCCACACGGTCCACCTGGAGCTGAGTCGCGCCCACCGGGTCCAGTCGCTGGGAGAGGCCCGCGCCGACGGTAAGCGCGCTGTGTGCTGGCTGCATCTGTCCCAGCCGCTGCAGTACTACTGTGCCACCTGTGACGTGCCCACTTGCCAGCTGTGCGCCGACCAGCATCCCGCCGACCACCGGCGCACCATGCTGGAAGACATCGTCTCCGACGAGATCGGCGTCTTCTGTGCCACCATCGACGCGCAGAAACGCAAAGTCATCGACATGAAAAAGATCCTGGCCCGTCAGATTCGCCGGCACAACGAGGCGTACGAACGGTGCCGCAGACTGGTGGACGAAGGCCATGAAGTTCTCGTGGACGTGCTGCCGTCTGGCAAGGACCAGGTTCTTCTCAAACTGGACGAGATTCACCGAGTGATGAAGGCGCGCCTGGAGAAGTTCGGCGAGAAGATGCTGCTGTTGGCCGGCGATGTGACGCACATCATCAGCGTCATGGAAAGACAGCTGCAGTTCGGCCTGAACGCCGAGGTGCTGGCGCTCAAGAAGCCCGCTGAGAGCAAGCTGGGTGTGATGAACCGCAAGATCGACGACCACTTCTCGGCGGAGCAGGCCGTGGCGCAGTCGCTGCTGCGTAACGGCGGCGAGATCGGACGTGAGATGATGCGCAGCCTGTACCGACCCCAGGTGGCCACGGACAGTCGCCGCGCCTCTCCCGTGCAGACGACCGACCTGCGCGCGCTCAATGGGTTCGGCTCCAGTCCGTCCGGCTCGTCTCACGGCTCCAGCCCGGAGCTGTCTCTGGAGCAAAGCCTCAGCCGCGGCTCCAGTTACGACCACGAGCTGCTGTCAGACGGACGCCAGAGCAGCGGCGATCTCGGTCTGGGCTTCGCTCTTCCATCGGAACTGTCGGCTATGCTCAACGGTAACTCTTCGAGCGATCTCTTCTCGCACCCGCCCTCTTCGCTCAGCCTGACTGGCATCAGCAACGGCGGGGGCTCCAACGGTCACGGCAAGCTCAACACCGTCGTGGGTGGCCTGAATGGTCTCTCGTCTCTGTCCAACGGCCTTGAACATCAGCTGCGCCTTGACGACCGCAGTAGCGTTGGAAGTTCCTCGCGGCCTGCCACCGGCTTCAGCGGCCTGGACCTCGGCTCTCACCACAGCCTGGGCGACTTCAACAGCCTGGCTGACTTCGGCCCGAGCCGCCTGTCGAACGGCCTCGGCCAGTCGACCTCCGCCAGCAGCGGCGGCAGCGGCGGTGGCTCCGGCTTCTGCAACGGCAACGCCGGCGGCGGGCTCGGCCAGAGCATCCTGAACGGTGCCTCCGGGATGGAGCGCTCGTTCAGCGGCAGCTACGACAGTGGCTTCTCGGGTCGCTTCTCGCCCTACTCGGTCAACCAGTACGGCCGCTGGTCGAACGGGAACGATGCGGGCGAGTCGCTGCGCCCGCCGTCTGCCACGGGCAGCCAGCTGAGCCGCGGCCCGCCGCCGGCGGCCCCGGCGCCCACACCGCCGTACCCGCCGCGCGGCCAGATCCGCCGCCAGAAGATGATCTACAACGTCAAACTGGGCGAGTTCGGCGTGATGGAGGGACAGTTCACCGAGCCTTCCGGAGTGGCCGTCAACGCGCGCAATGAGATCATCGTGGCCGACACCAACAACCACCGGATCCAGGTGTTTGACAAGGAGGGCCGCTTCCAGTTCAGCTTCGGCGAATGCGGCAAGCGCGAGGGCCAGCTGCTCTACCCGAACCGTGTGTTCGTCAACAAACAAAGCGGGGACATCGTGGTGACGGAGCGCTCGCCGACGCACCAGATCCAGATCTACAACCAGTACGGCGCGTTCGTCCGCAAGTTCGGAGCCGACATCCTGCAGCACCCTCGCGGTGTGACGGTCGACAACAAGAACCGCATCGTTGTCGTCGAATGCAAAGTGATGCGTGTGCTCGTGTTCGACTACTTCGGCGACGTGCTGAAGCGGTTCGGCTGCAGCCGCCACCTCGAGTTCCCCAACGGCGTGGCCGTCAACGACAAGGAAGAGATCTTCATCAGCGACAACCGAGCCCACTGTGTCAAGGTCTTCAGCTACGAAGGCCAGTTCCTACGTAAAATCGGCGGCGAGGGCGTCACTAACTACCCCATCGGAGTTGGCATCAACCTTCTTGGCCAAGTGGTCATCGCCGACAACCACAACAACTTCAACCTGACTGTGTTCACTCAGGAGGGCCAGCTCATCAGCGCCCTCGAGTCCAAGGTGAAGCACGCCCAGTGCTTCGACATGGCGCTCATGGAGGGCGGCTCCGTGGTGCTGGCCAGCAAGGACTACCGCCTGTACGTGTACCGCTACGCGCCGTCCCAGGTGCAGTACGCCTACCCGTTCTAAGGCGCCGGCTGGCCACTGCGGCCGACCGAGGGGCGTGGTGAGCCGGTGGCGGCCACCCTGTACAGAGTGTGCACTAGTTAAGCGGCGGCTGCCACCTCAACATGCCCACCAGACTTGCGCTTGTTTCGCCCGCCGGCCATCGCCCTAGTCAGGCTATGAAGCGTTCGCTGGGGCGTCCCCACCCACGTGACACTGTTGCTCGTAGCAGCTTTAAGGTGTTGTTGAGCGGTGGCCCCGTTTTGTTTTTGTTTACGTTGATGCGATGATCTAACTTTGTTATCTATTTAAGTTTCCTTATTTATTCTGTTGATATTAAAGCTGGGTTGAGTTTTGCATTTTAACCATTTTAACCTGTCTTCTTTTAGCCCGTTTTACCGCGCCGTCTTTCCCCGCTGTGGCGTGCCGTCAGGGCGCCGGCCTTCCTGCTGTGGGCAGCTGGCCGGGGCGCGGCGCGCGGCCGTCTCGGCCCTGCTTCCGGTCCTGTCCAACTGACGAACTGTTCTCCCGGTAGTGGCGTCTCCCTTACCCCCGTCCCGTCCCGCTTCTCACCCGCCAGGCTGTGTATGGGCGCTGTTTGTACCTCATCGCGCGCGCACGTGCGGTGCCACCCTGGGCTGGTCAGATGTGTGGAGATTTTATAAAGTTTTGTACTTTGCTAACGTTCGGGAATCGCGCTGCGGCCGGGCTGCGGAACTGGCCGAGCGTCCACCGCCGGCCGAGCCAGTGCCTCTCACTAGAACCGTTAAAACGTCGTGAAACAGTATTTTTACAATGTTTTCTTTTATACAAGTTGAGCAGCTGGCACCGCCGTCGTGTGACCTTTTCGGTAGCATGTGCGCTCCTCTCACGCACCCATCCAGCCATTATTTCGCGTGTGCACGCACACGCCACACACAGACATACACACACGGACACCTCACGCACAAAGACACACGCATACTGACACAATGTCGTTCCATATGACTCCCGGTCTAGATATACCCCCACTGATATCGGCACTGTACGCCTCTGTCGGCGACGGGCCGCGCCCTGCCTGGTGGCAACTTTTCTTCCGAATGGGACCAGTGTTTCAATGCGGACGGGGGTAAAACAGGCCATGAACCTTGGTTCCAGGCTTCCCTCGTCCGGTGGCGCGTGCCGCCCAAACCAGAGAGCGAGAGCTGGGACTGAGGCCGCGCCGGGGCTGGCGCTGTTGTCCGGCCCCTCCCGAGGCGGCCGTGTGCCATGTGCGCGCCGGGGGACGCCAGGTCCACTGTCTGCCTGTTCGCTTCGCTTTGGCCGACTGTCGATCGGACGGTCGCCATTGAGCCGACGCGTGTACCATTGTTGTTGAGTATATTTTACTACCTAGTTGGTGTGTGCCTGTTAGTTGGTTAGTGTGCATGCGCCACCGAGCGGTGGCGGCCGCGGTCGGCCGGCGAGCCGCCGCCCTGTATAGAGGCGCCCGACCGGGCGTCGGGCGCGCCCGTCGCCACTGGACGCCACTCGGCCGCCGCGCACTCGTTGGTAATAATGTATTTTGGACTGTGCTTGTACCGTGGGCTCAACTGTACTCTTGTTGTGACTTCCCTTCGCTCTGTGGGCCGGGTTGGCGGGCGCCGTGCCCGATTGCGCCATTGTTGTCTCATTTTGGAGCTGTTTTGCGTGTTACCGTTACCATGTTTGGTGTTCAGCTGTTGCGCCTGACGCCACCCGAACTCAGAATCAATAGACGCCCACATTCCAGCACGGATTTCACAGTTCAAATCTCTCGCTTCTGTTACTTGTTGCGCGCGCGTGTCGCCCGCGCCCGGCCGCCCGTACTTACCAATATGTATATGTAAGGTTTGATATATACTCATGGCTCTCTTGTTGGCCGCTGCTGCCGCGCTGTGCGGCGTTTTAACTGGATGCTTTGTTATAGCGGCGAGAGGGGCCGGGCGATGTAGGGCCCAAGGGCAGCGCGCTCGGGGCACCCCCGCTGCCCTCAGTCTCTTCCCATGTTGCGCGTTTTTATCATTAGTTGATTTTTATTTTCTTATGTGTAAGTAGTACATTTTACGTCTTTCATTTGGTAATTTGTTAAGCAGTGGTTGTACTACAATGGTATTCAATAAACTGTTTGCTTATAATATTCTTTGAACGGGTCATGCCCGTTGAACACGAGAAGGGCGCGAGCGAACTCAGCAGCTGGGGCAAACGGAGCATTGCTCAGTCACGGGCTGGGAACAGCCAGCAGCTACGCACAAGGTCGAGTGCCCCTTCCTATCACGAACTCCAAGCAGTAATAAATTCAAGCACTACTTTGCCGTGAAATTTCAACCAAGATTAGTGAGTTGCTAACTGGCAGTTCCATGGAAGGAATTTACAGCGTAGAGACGTTATCATATGGTTTGCAATATTTGGTGCCGCATTCGGGAGCCGGCGCTTCATAAGTTAATCGCGAGGTCAAAGGGAACACGTTCGTGTCTGTAAACATTTATTTTCTCGCATATTGGGCATTGAGAGATGCCTGGGCACTCAATTGGTCCAGTGCACTGGACCAAGGTCAAGTGGCAAGTTCAGCGATGACAATGGAAGGTGTGGTCACGGGTCATAGGTCAGCAATCATGTCACATAGACGCCCTTTCTACCGACCGCGTTTCGGTCCCGACGGTGCACACGCTTCACATCACATTCATGGTCGAACTGCGTATGTGGTCGGTGCGGTGAGCTCCACGACCATCAACATTCTTACGGTTTTCCACCCACACAATGTCCAATGGATTTATCATCACATCATCATCACTATCACTCTCAACACGCACGATCTACTGTGTGACTTATGTGATGGGTGACTAATGCGTCTTGCAACTACGCATTGGTGACTTCAAAAACGTTTCATTCTCCAGCACACGAAGTCCGCACATCGCATATCATGAACGGGGGCCTGATATAAATGCGACAGTCTCTTGCGCAGTAGCCACATCAACGGTGCCGAAGTAGGTACTGGAAAATACTCGAGTTACCGATTTTTTACATAATGCAGTACTTCCTTGCGCGGGGGCTCCGACTTGACGTGACCGTCAATATTATAGATTAGATTTGTATCTAGAGTGCGTGCGTATAGTGTGTTTTATCTGCGCCGTATTGTTTGAATGGTTTACAGGTTGAAATCGCTTAAACTGAGGCAACGGCAGATCTCGCTGAGTTTCAGAAGGTTCAAGTGACGGTCATCGCCCGATCGTGTTCCAGCTAAAAAGTTATTGAGCAGCGGCGCGGAGTTGGCTGGTTCTTCACCGGAATCAAAAGTTGTTGTGTGGACGCCGGAGGGCTGCGGGTGACCGACAGGAGCGGGCGGGGGACATCCGACGACACACTACATCCCCAGCCGACCCGCCAGTTCACCAGGTCCGCAGCTCTATTGGGACTCGAATCAAATAATCAACCTATACAGCTGTTCCATGTAACCGCTGGGATGCCCCGTGCGAGAGGCGTCGGCTACAGTGCGCGTCGGTCGGAGCTCTTTGTCAGATCAGCCGGTCGATGGCGGCGCTGAATTAGTGAGCGCACGCGCGCGCGCGCGCCGCGGCAGCAGCTGTATCCGGCGCGGGGTCGGAGCGCGCCCGCCGCGCGGCCCATCACCTGGCGCCTTTGTGCCGCCGGCGGGAGGAGCGCGCTGCTCCCCCTTGTTTGGTACGCTGGGATCAGCGCGGCCGGCGCACGGCGGGATCGGTGGGGCCGGAAGCGCTCCCGGTGGCGGACACGACCCACCACCTGCCGCCGCCGACCGGCACCGGTCCGGTCCCGGGGGTCGAGCTCATGAAAAACCGATATTTTCACATGATCAGTGCGGAATCGAGGCAGCCGTGACAAAGAGGCGCTTTTATGCCGCTAGAGGCGTATGATGCTTTTGCATGATAAGTTAGAACGTTTTACCTATATCTATTTAGTTATTTATTACACGCTTTTGGTAGGCATTAGCACGGAATACCTAGGGGAGAGTGGGGATAACTGGGACGGGGGAGAAGTGGGACACCTTCAATATCTGGGTGAGCGATTGGACAAACAATTTTGTTTTTGCATATTTCCTCATGAATTTAGTCGGGGCACGTCACAGCCTAGCGGTTTACTTTTCCGGTTGCCTGTCTCTGAGATATTGAGTTGGGGTCTAAAATGTGATTTTTTGGCATTGTACTCTTATTCGATTTGCCGTTTACTCAGCGATGTGAAATGTTCAGGCCGTTCACCTTCGGATGTCAGTGAAGTCATCTAAATATAGGTATGCAGAAACATTTTTTTATGTATCTGTTATACTTTTGTGTGGGAGAGCAGTTGAAATAAAAATGACGTCTTGGGGATAACTGGGACAACGTGCCTAAGCCTTGTCCCAGTTCTCCCGCATGCAAATGCACTGGAAAATTTTCCAGGATACTCAGTGCTGTCAGTGTAGTTCAAAAAAGATAATCGAAGTGATTTCTTTAAGTGTCAATTTTTAAAATGCCTTCTTCTTCGTAATGGGTCATCAAATTTTAATTGTATTCCATTTAAATCACATTTTTTGACCAGTCCCAGTTCTCCCCATCATTTGTCCCACTTCTCCTGGACGTGTCCCAGTTCACCCCATTGTCAACCTTTCCTAAAATTTAAATTTGAGAAGTAACACGTGAACAAACACGCATAAAAACAGTAAAGAATGAAGTAGAAATAAACTGTTTGCCAGTAAATGCAATAAATTTACTTAAACCTTAAATATTCTATTTTTTACGATTTTTCAAAGTTGACGTCAAAATAATGGCCCACTTCTCCCCGGTCTCCCCTATATACCTAGTGTAACGGCTATATGTCGTTAGACTACATGTCGTTTAACTTTAGACTAGGTATATGTTCCGTGGCATTAGTAGGGGTCAACGACAGCCGACAAAGGATAGAGTAAGGTCAATGAATCGAAAATTCTAACACCAACCGTTAATTGTCAAAATAAGGATAGGTGTAAATGATTCATTTATCAATGATTTATGGTTATTCTACAACATGGGCGTATTTACCTATGCAGCACACGGATGTCTATGTCTTTGGTCTCCGACTTGGCCAGAACTTATTGAACTATAACCTTGTTTTTACCGAGTGGCACCGAACATGTCGGACAGCCAAGTCCCAAACAAAAAGGTCAGCCACGTTTTTTGGTACAGCTCGACCTCCTAGACGGTTCTTTGTCCGTTTCGTCCCGAATGTAGTGCGGTCCAAGCGACAAAGACACAAAGACCTGACACTTTACGAAGCTGGATAATAAACGGTTGTGCCGCTCGGAATCTCGTCGAAAAAATAAATTGAGAGGGGTGCACAACATTTTTATAGCGGGGTTCGTGTTTTGAGGTTGAACTTTTCGGAACCAAGACAACGGGCACTGTGGTGTGTGCGCTGGGGTTCAAATTATGGGACTTATTGATCGGGCCGAGTCCTGTGCATGGAATCATTTCGTTTGTCCCATTCGTTTACTTAAAAACTAGCTGACAATGGGTTCCACCATTCATTACCATTTATCCCTTTTATCCTTAGGGTCATCAAATCTTCATTTTTCATCACACGTCCCTCCCTGTTCGAGCAGACGGTCGCCCCACCAGACGACCAGTGAGGGCAGTTTTAGTACCTAGGAGCGGGTCCGTCCGGTGTGACCGTTTGAGTGCAGTTGGGTGACCTGTTCTATCGGGACACTCCCGTCTTTCGGGATGCTCACTTCAGCCACTGCGGTGCATCAGCCGGTGGTCGACACGGGCCTATCTCCTCCTCCCATGGCCATGAAATGGTCTCAATAGGCCGAAAGGACCAAGCCCAATAAAAACAAACAAACAGGCGTGTCCAGTTAGTTTTAAAGGGCAGCTTTGACGTCTATGACCCTCCGAGAGAAAGAAACAGACTCGGAGAAGCTTCATGTGTTATGATGATAATGAAGCTTACGTGCACATGCTGCACCTACTTATTTTCAACTCCTTGTTGCTGCTTTTGAAGCTGTCAAGCGCACATGGTTTCATTCGGAGGGTCATTGGAAAACTGGGACCATTGAGTGCGCGAACACTTGTCAATATGTTCATATGTGGAAGCCTAAACTGCGTTCAATGCCAAATTGCGTATGTACTGACGCATTATTGATGAATATTGCACCACGCTGCCCGAGGAATGGGCGCTCCTTGAAGTTATGGCTCGACTTTCCAACAATACGGTTTCCAACCCATTGTGCCCGTTATGACTCGCAACATATAATACCCTCGGGCTCGAGTGTTTTTCAAGGTGGGCTGCTCCGCCCGGCCGCATAAAAGCCCGCTATTAACTCGTATGCCTTGTAACTTGTAAGAAAACGTCCCCTGACAATTTGATATCTAGTTAGCGGTTAAAAGCGACCATTTATAACGGACGTACAGTGTAAGATTATGTGCCGGCATCGGCTTTTCCTCGTCAAAAACACTCGTGGAAGCCTCGGCATCCAACTAAATCCTATACCAAGCGCCGAGTGCGATGATTCCCGGCTTTGGACAACCCGAAGGTGAACAGTGAGCACCAGCAATCCAGCACACTCTTCACTTTATTAAAGAAAAGAGAAGGGAGGGCACGGGCTACCTCACACACAATGGTGGTAACGTTGCGTCAGAACCACATATTGCAAGTGGTGGAGGATGGGCTTCGAATCACTCTATAGTTCGTATCGGCCGTTTAGTATCGCCCACGTTGACAACCAGTTGCATCCAATGTCGCATTTTGACCGTGCATAGGTTTTCAGTGTCATCCTCCACAGACGGCCCAAGGGCGTTGCCCCTTGTCGAGACCCAGCCACAGCATGCTCGGCAGCTGCAGCATCCAGCACCACCTTTTCCCGGCAAATCAGTGAGTCTGTTGTGGGATAGCGCGCAGTAAGCGGCACGTGGCGCGGCTGTGGGGGCCCGGCCGGCGCGGTGCCTTGTTTACCGGCGCGGCGCGGCACTCCCCTCGGGTCGATGCGGCCGTCGGACGCAGCCTCCACGCACAGAGCCGACTCGCTCGGCCGATCGATGGACAGGCCGGGGGACGCGGCGGCGGCACGTGCCGCCATCGACCGGTGGCGCCGGGCGCGCTTTGTCCGCGCTCGGACCGCGTGGCCGCCGCCGGAGGGGGCAGCCGG